GGGTGCAGGGGCCTTGGTCGCCTTGGATGGAGACAGGAACTCCATTCACAGGACACCTGGCCTGCAGGACTCTCTGGTGGTTTTGGGGTGGCCTGAGAATGCAACCTGAGGATTCCCCCTTGCTGTGGCTGCTGTAGGAGGTCACCACCCACCAGTACAAAGCTGCCATGGTGCCCAGGCTCAAGGCCACATGGCCAGCAAAAGCCATGGCTGGGCCCCTCACCCAGCCTGGCTCCCAAGCCAGTCAGTTGCTCAGTGGGGCTCATGGTGATCACTGGACACTGTCTGCCTCCTGCGGTCCACAGATCCAGCCTCGCTTTCCGGTTCTGCCTGTGGTCCTGCGCCCTCTACCCTGTGCCCCTGTCCTCACTGGCTTCACAGCAGCCACCGTGTGGTGCTTTTCGAGCTACGGCTCAGGACCCCCTTATGGTCATGAAATCAACTGAAAGAACTGGGACTAGCTTCTGCGTTTAAAAATATAAAAACAAAATTGAAAACGCCATTCTTTGCCTGGATGACTCCAGCTGCCCATGTATACATCTTTCTTGCCCTGCTTTCGAGTCTGTGTAGCACACGGTGCTCTCACACAGCTTCTGGCATCCGGGTGACTCATCAGAACTTGGACGGCTGTTCTTACTGAAGCACTTGGTGCCTGCTTTGTCAGTCTGTCTGGCACTTTAGAGCTGGAGCTGGGCGCCTGTTTCAACCCCACCACTTAGCGCTGTGGGATCTTGGACAAGTTATTTAACATCTCTGGGTCTTCGTTTCCTCGTCTGTGAAGTGGGAATGTTAAGTGCACTGTTGCACAGGTTAAACGGATGAGTAAGATGAATTAACATATGAATCATGATGAGAACATATGGCGAATGCTACAATTTAAAAAATTTATTACAGCAAAAGACACACTGCCATTTATCCTCTCAAAAATTTCCCCCTCACTGCAAGCACATTTACTCCATGTTTCTTTCCTCTTTCTTTTCTTTTTTTGGTTTTTTTGAGACAGGGTCTCACTATGTAGTTGAGACTGACCTGAAACTCACTATGTAGCCCAGGCTGGTCTCTAACTCACAGAATCCTCCTGCCTCAGCCTCCTGAGTGCTGGGGTTACAGGCGTGTACCACCACGCCTGGCTCTTTCTTGCCCCTTTGAGTGTCTTTATCATTCTAGGGAGTCAGGTGATAGCCCACTGTGGTTTTGATTTGCATTGCCCTGACAACTGATGATACTGGCTGTTTTTGTAGATTTGTTGGCCATTTGTGTAGATTTGTTTTAAGAAATTGTGTTTTTATCTGAAGAGCACAGGAAAAACACTGGGGATTTTAAGTTAGGAAGGCCACGTGCTGCTGGCAAGTGCCATCCAATGGAAAGGCAGGCTCACAAAAACATTATGCTGCATCCTCATCCACCTTGTTCACTGGATCTGGTGACTTCTGGCTCTTCCCCAAAGTCAAAACAACCACAGAAGGGACAGGTTCTGAACTGATTCAAGACATCAAGGCAGCTGTGACAGCACAACTAAAGACATTCACAAGGAGAATGTCTGGAGGTGAGAACCACATTAAAAGTGCCTTTGAACCCGGGGGTGGGGGCATTTTGAGGAGGATTAATGCCAGAGTGTCTTTTACTATAACAGCTCTTTGTAAAACTTCACACATTCACCAAGTTTCCACAGTTCGTATGCTAATGGCTCAAAAAAGCACAAGGATGGGCCAGGGATTTAGCTCAATGTTTCTGCAGCCTGCCTTGAAAGCACAAGGTCCTGAGTTCAATCCCCAGGAACCCCCCGCCAAGAAAAGCACAAGGATATTAGGAATAATATTATCATTTCCCCTTCAAGGCTCCAGGAGTCCTTAGGCAGACCCATTCCTTCTTTGGCCCAAAACCCCAGTCCTGGGGGACACTGGGGTCTCTGTTGTGTACACTTTGTACCTCAGACACCCCTTCTTCTGGAAAGAGGCTTCTTGCCAACAGTCTGCAGCCCTCCAGGCTAAGAGCTTAAACTCTGAATCTCTAGCTCTGCTACCTGAGGTCGCTCACTATTTCTAAGCCTCAGTTTCCTCTTCGGTAAAATGAGAATAATAACAGCACCTGCCTCATAGAGCAGTGTTAAGTATTAAATAGAATAACGTAAGGGAAATACCCAGCACCAGCACAGGTCAAGATCAGTTGTCACCAGCAGGATGTAGCTGAATGCTTCAGGAACAAACCTCAGACTGTCCACTATAACTCGGAAGATGCTCCTCACTAATGCCTGGTGACTGGAGTATAGATCAGAACTGAGGCCAGCAGCCAGGTATTGTGGCACACATCTGCAGTCCCAGCACTCTGGGAGGCTGAGGCAGGAGGACTGCAAGTTGAAGGCCGGCCTGGACAATTTAGCAATTTCATGAGACTCTTGTCTCATATAAAAAATAAAAAAGGGCTAGAGATGTAGCTCAGTGTGGAGGCCTGGAGTACAATCTCCAGTGTTAAAAAACCGAAACACCAGAGACCAGCTGCCTCAACTGCTGAGCCTCTGCTTGACTGTCCCGATATACACATGGTCCACATTGAGTAGAGCTCTACGCTTCTACACTTTGCACACCTCTACTCTCTGCAGGTAAGATGAGGCATGCAGTTCGGAGAACAAAGCATTCGCCCAGCATCAAGCAGCGGGAGACTTCTCACCCCATCGAGGCTGCAGAGTTTACTATGGCTGGTGAATGCCAGCCACAGAGCAGGTTCACCTGGCAAGGCTGGACTGGGGGGGGCGCCATCAGAGAACAGGTCACCCTAGGGGAGGACTCGCAATTCCCACCAGCCGAGGAGTGAACAGAGCAAGAGATGGGATTGGCTCCTGCATCCCTGGCTGCACATCCAGCCAGTTCTCTAATAAGCTTGCTACTCAGAGAAAGGAAGGAAAGGAGGGAAAGGAGGGACTGGATCGAGGATCCTGTGCAAAAGCACCAGGGAAAGTGCTTAGGGAAGGTGAGTCGCTGTGGTCTTTCCAGTCTTTCGGGCTGCTGCTGCCACCAAGGAAACTCTGGGCCTCTTCAGCCTTTCAGGACAGTAGATGAGGTTGCTCAGCAGAGCCGGGTGGGGGTGGGAGGGGAAGATGCGCTGGATGATGCTCTTAGGGCTTCCGGACTGCAGCAAAGATTGAGGGGGGAAAGTCCCCGCTGCCTCTGGGTACTGCTGCCTGGCCCTAATGCACACAGCCGGGCTCAGCCCTCAGGCAGCAAGCAGGCTGGGTTCCAGAACCCCTGAGCACACTGTCAAAAGTGTAAGGGAACCAATTTCTTTCCGTTTTTTTAATTTCCAGGAAAGGGGGACATAAATTCTGTAGAAGTCATTTAAAGTCATAACCCTTAAAAATGTTTGCAGTGTGTTGTTCTGATCAAAGTTTTCCAGCTGACTCGGGCCATGCCACAGCACAACACGGCCTCTCCACGGCAGCGCCAGAGAAATGGCACTTTTGTTGGGGGGGGGTACCAGGAATCCAACTCAGGACCTTGCTGCTTGCAAGGCAGGCCAGGCGGCAGAACCACTGAGCTAAATCCCCCACCCTGAAATGGCACTTTTGAATGTCTTCCCAGTGACATGGCAGAGAGAATTTTGCCTCTGTGGTACTGATTTTTTAAAGTGAGTCTTCTGATTCTCAAGTCAAGAAAAAAAATGGGGTCTCTGCTTTTTGAGGTCAGTTCTTGGCCAGATTTTCAAAACTACATCCTTTTTCTGACTCACTAAGGCTTCAATACCATGGGGGGGCAGTTTTTCACATTCTGAAAATTGGTCCTCAAAGTCCTCCAGGGGACAGGGCCCCTTCCTGGGCAGGAGGTCAGGAGTGTGGCCCTTAGCTCATTCTCCACTCATACTTCAGGGGGAGACTGGTCCTTTAAAAATTAAAAATAGATGCTGGGTATGGTGGCACACGCCTACAATCCCAGCACTCAGGAGGCTGAGGCAGGAGCATCACTGTGAATTCAAACCCAGCCTGGGGGGCCAGGGATTTAGCTCAGTGGTTCTGCCACCTACCTCATAAGCACAAGGACCCAAGTTTGATCCCCAGTACAAAAAAAAAAGAAAAAAATCAAATCAAACCCAGCCTGAAGTGCACAGGAAGACCCAGTCTCAAAAAACCCAAATAAATATATAAATAGTTTTCTTTTATTTCCCTTATGAAAGCACAATGGTGGCCAGAGGGGGACAAAGAACACTGTCTTTGTGGATGAGGTGGAGTGGGACAGTGTTCGCCAGGTCAGGATGCACATTTCCGGTTACGACAGACAAGAGTGACACCTGGGCTGGCACCCTGGGCCCCAGCCTTCCCAGAGAAGGAAGGGTGGTGAAGGCAGCCACAGGGCAGAGTGGAGAAAAGTGCAGGTACAGCTGGGTTTGAGGTCTGTGGGAGAAGTGGCAGAAGGAAGGCAAAGAGAAGTCTCACGGAGAAAGGTGTCAGAGAGAGAGAGGAGGAAACTCTCGGCAGAAGGACCTGGGAGGTGGCTTCCCGAAGAAGGGGCTGCGTGGGAAGAGGGCCTGCTCTAGCAGGCAGGAGGTGCCAGGACCACGCCTCGATCCTCCCCACACTCTGCTCCTCATCAGTTGAGAAGACGCCCACTGCTAAACACTACCATATGGCACAAGGCGTCCAGGGAAAACACCACGGTGTCCGCCTTCCATCCCTACCCCTACCCAACTTAAAAGTCCCACCTCAGGGGCTGCGAGGGCAGCCAAAGTGCTGCAGATACCCTCTGTCTGTCTATGCTTGGCCTGGGGTTATAAGGGCCGTCGTGCCCCGAGCTTTCTCCACTGCACTGCTGCCATGGCAGTTACTTATCTGTGCAATCACATGTTTTACAGCTGTTTCCCTGGCCAAAGTGGAAACCCCAAAAGAATGCTGCGTCTGCGTCGGTCTTTGCTGACACCCACTGCCAGCACAATATCCGCGACACAGCCGCCCAGAGTAAGCACTTGAAGATGAGTGTCCACCCCGCAAAGAGCCACAGAGGAGCAGGACTTACTACACAACTTGTTCTGGAACACTGAGGTCAGTGACTCTATCTGGCTGAAGTTGGCCACCAAGAAGACGTGGTCCTCGTGGGGTTCACTCCCAATGGCCTTGAGTGTGTTGAAGTCCACTTGGCCCACGCCGATGGCGAAGATCAGGATGCCCGTGTCCCGTGCCTTTGCGGCCACTTCGGCCACCGAGTCCTGTGGCCTCCCGTCTGTCACAATCATTATGACCCGTGGCACGTTCTCCCTGAGGGGCCGGGCCCCCTCTGCTTCTGAGAAGGCGATGTTCAGGGCATACTGGATGGCCAGTCCCGTCATGGTGCCCGTGGACAGATGCCGCATCCGTTTCACAGCCCGCTCCACCTCAGACTTCCTCTTGAAGGTCTTGAGGGAGAACTCATTCTTGACTGTGCTGCCGTACTGGAGCAGCCCCACGCGAGTGACATCAGGACCAACGTCCAGAAATCGTAAGATGTCCACGATGAATTCCTTGACCTTCGCATAGTCGTGGGTGTTGACGCTGCGGGAGCTGTCGATGATGAAGACCAGGTCTGCCTGCTTATTCTCGCAGGATCTCTCTGGGGAAAGAAGAGAGGCCCGATGTATTAGAAAAGAGTCAAGGACCCAGTGAGACTGGCTATTGTTGGAAATCTAGAGCTGACAACCAGCCCTAAGCCTCCAGAGTTTTGGTTTTCCTCCCCGAAGAGATAGATACCCTTGGCTACAAATAGGATATTTTTTGCAAGATAAATAAACATATGACATATTAGTCTCTAGAAAATCATCAGTGTGGGCCAGGGATGTAGCTCAGTGGCACCACATCTGCCTGGCAAATGCAAGGTGAGTCTGATCTTCAGTACCAAAAAAAAAAAAGGAAGTCACCAGTGCAATTTTTAGGTGGCCAAACACATGATCGAGGTCTAATTTATTGTATTATTTTCTGCATGGGCAGAAGCTTGGCAGGGCACTGCGGAGAATGCTTACAATAGGATCACAGTCAACCAGGGAAGACTTCACTGATGGAGCCCAGAAACAATATCCAGGGTGAAACTGGTTCTGACAACAGTAGTTAGGAGGACGAGGATGTGAGAGATGAGACAGAGCTGCTTTCTGGATGCAGAGCATTGAGGCTGGAGAGCAGGGACCCATGAAGCAAAGCCCAAGCAGGGATGGAGGTGCTGGATGACAGAGTGGGTGATGGATGGTGAGTAGGACCCGGAGGAGAAGGAACACGAGGAGCCACAGGCAGGGACTAGCTGGAGAGGAAGCTGGAAGCCGGTTATAAAGGACTTAAGATCACACTGAGAAATCTGAACGTGATGCCACGGATGGCGCGGCATCCGAGCGTCACTCCTGTTAAGTGGCTCGTGTCTCCTGTAGGGAAGTCGCGTGACAAAGTCGGGGCTGGTCTGCAGCTCAGTGGTGGAGCCTGCACGCCGTGTGGGTGAGCTCCTGTGACTCCGGACCCAAGTGGGAGGCAGTAGTGGAAATGGAGAGAAAGGACCCGCTGCAGAAACATTTCCATAAAGGACACATTAACCTGGAAAAAGGCAAACTTCTCCCTTGCCATTCTGACAACCACACTCCAGCGCCCAAGCCACGCTGGAGTCCACAGATGAAATTCGTCCTTCCTGGCCAGGGATTTACCTCAGTGGTGCTGCCACCTGCCTCACAAGTGCAAGGTCCTGAGTTAGATTCCTAGTACAAAAAAAAAAAAGAAAGAAAGAAAAGAAAAAGAAAGGAAGGAAGGAAGAAGGGGAGAGAGAGAGAAAATTTGCCCTCCGAGTTTCTGGGTAAGAGTGATACTGGATGGGAGGAGATGACTGGCCTCCTGGTGGGGTTTCTCAGGGGTTATAAGCTACGGCCTGTAGCCTGCTCTGGTTTGGAGATGGTCGAGTTTGTTCTCCCTTGTCACGTATTGGAATTTCATTCCCAGGGTGAGATACTAAGACAGGGGGAACTCAACCCAACTCTGGCATTTAGAGGTGCAGCCTTGGGAGGTGATCAGAATTAGATTCAGTTTTGGGGGTGGAGTCCCCAAGACTGAACACTGGCGACTTTATATGAAGAGGGAGAAAGACTAGAAGGGACACAGATCCACTCACACACTCCCTGTTTCTTGCTGTGTGATGCCCTTGGCTGCCTTGGAACTCTGCCAATAAGAAGCCCATTGCCAGATGTGGCCACCGACCTCAGGCCAGAACTACAAGCCACAGTAAACCTGCATTCTTCATCAAGTTACCCAGCCACAGGTATTTCCTTACAGTAACAGAAAATAGACTAACCTGCTGCCATTAGCTGAGCCTAGTCCCTACTCCCCTTTCCCATCCGCTTGCCCGACTTTGTAGCTAAATCAGGATTTGAAAGGGATTAGAAAAAGGATCCCAAATGCCTGCCCTAAATCTCAATCACCGCAGTTGTAAGAAAGAGAGAGAAAGCCAAAAATGAAACAGTGAAGCCAGTCATAAGAATGAGAAGCAAGAAAGGCCCATGAGCTCATCCTACCCAGGCCAGCTTGCCAGGCTATGACTCCTCAGCCTGTGTGCGTGCACCTCACTGCTGAGCCCCAGGCTGCCCACTGCAGAGGAGGAGGCCCCCAAACACCAGGAGCCTGGCTAGAAGCAAACCTCCTGCTACACCTGTGTGCCACCGGGGGTACAGTGTGAGTCCAAGGAGACGATGAAGCCCCTTCATCACAATGGCCTCATTACTTTCTTCTTTTTTCTTTTTTTTTTGGTACCGGGGATCGAACTCTGGTCCTTGCGCTTGTGAGGCAGGCCACCGAACTGCTGAGCTAAATCCCCGGCCCCTCTCACTTCTTCTTTAATTTTTTTTGGTACCAGGGATTGAACTGAACTCAGGACCTTGTGCTTAAAAGGCAGGCAGCAGCACCACTGAGCTAAATGCCCCACCCTCCCAATGGCCTCATTTCATTTGCAGGCTAAACTACTGAGAAAATAGCCAGGAGGCTCACACCCGCTGGATGAGTGAGAAAATGGAGACACAAGGAGTCCAAAAATCATAAATCAGAAAAAGAAAAATATATGGAGATGACTCTCTGGGTAGTTGTGAGAATGTGAGGAAATGAGTGAGGAAAGAGCCAGTATGAAGCCAGGTGTGTGGTACATGCTTGTAATCTCAGTGCTGGGGGAGGCTGAGGCAGGAGGATCAGAAGTTCAAGTCCTGCCTAGGCAACCTAGCAAGACCTGTTCTCAAAAAACAAGGGCTTTGGATGTAGCTCTGTGGTAGAGCACTCCTCAGTTCAATCCCCAGTACCCCACCACCACCAAAAGAGCCAATATGGTAGCAGTCCTCTGCCCACCCTCCTGCCTACAGTGCTCCTTCCTCAGCCCACACTGTGCCAGAGCTACAGCTTACGGCTCTGCACCCAGGCACATGCCCAGGGAGGGGCATGGAACAGAAAGGCAGGCAGTCCTGGGCCCCGGGCCTCAGTCCACACTGACAGGCCCCTTATGGTCACATGTTTCTAATTTCCATGGTCCAGCATCCGGCAGGCTCACAGGTCCCAGGAAGGACACTCCCGGGAGCCTCCCCTGCCCATACTTCCTACCCAAACATACCGCTGGGATATGTCTCCACTTGCTGGGGACAGCAGAGCCAGGGCTTCAACTCCTACCATGGAGGAGGATATCAATTAAAGGCTCCTTCGAAGACAGGACAGTCCACAGAGGCCTGGCCGCCCTGCGAACTCTTTCTCTGGAGATCTTTGGAAGCAGAGGGTTCCCCCCGGTGTGGGATTTTTATCACGGGTTTTAGTCATGGCATCAGCACATCTCACCAAGTATCACAATCAATTTAGAAGGAAGCCTGGAAGGCCCGCGTGGAACTGTGTGCGAACCTGGATCGGTTCCCATCAAAACAAACGGGTGGTTTCCACAACGTCTGGACGTTTGCAAAAATACCACAGGGCTTCGAAACGTTGTCAGAGGTTCCAAGTGGGTTGCGGTTCAGGAAATCATCAAGTCCTGGCAGCCCGAGTAACTGAGTTTTCTTTAAGAAAACTTCAGGTCCCCCGAGGGCTCAGGGCCATAGCCTAGCTTCTCCCTGGAAGGGCCAGTGCAGTGGTTCTCAACCCTGAGCGTGTGTCCCAGTTCCCTGGGGGACTTGCTAAACGCGAAGATCTGTAGGCCACGCCCCCAGAGCTTCTGATTCAGTAGGTCTTGGGGGAGACACCTGGAAATATACATTTTTAACACGGGCTGGGTTGCAGCTGATGATACCGGTCCAGGGGCCACTCTCTGAGAATGACTAGTCTAACAAATTGAGAGATCTTCAGGTTCTGCTTTTCGGATTTTGTTTTTTGTTTCAGTTCTAGGGACTGAAACCAGGCCCTCAAGCATGTCAAGCAAGTGTTCTACCACTAGCTAGAGAGATCTTTGGAATACAGATGTCTTAGGAAGTCTTGGTCTCACTCTGTCAATTCCCCAAGGGCAGCAAAATAGTCTCATTCACCTTTTTTTTTTTTTTTAGTCTCTTTCACCTTTGAAGCCACGTGATCAGAAATACAGTAAGTCTTCAGCAAATATTTGTATAATTAAATGGTGAAAGGGCTTCAGGTGGAAGGGACTGAGTCAGAGCAGTCAGTTGGAGATGATGACAACCATGAAGGCAAAAAGTGCTAGAGCAGATGCTAATGCAGGTATAGATTCTAGGACCCAAATCTTTGCCATTTTATGAGGGAACACAACCCCTTTTGAACTTTTGGTTCATGGAATCACAGAATAGTAAAATTTTAGGGCTGGGGGTTCCAAACAGAGTTCAAAGCATTCACTTTCTGGAAGGAGAAACTAAAGCTCAAAGAAGTAACTCCTCTGCGAGGCCTCGAGGCTCATTACAGTTGGACCCTGTACAGTGGTGCCTTTTCTGCCATCTCATGGAGCGTACCCTTGGTAAATTCTCAGTATGGTCAGCATTACCACATGAGCTTTGCTAGTACTTTGGATCGCTCCAGAACATTTTCCATGAGGAGCCTGATAGCTTCTCCCCAAGGGTCTGCTGGGAGATTTTTCCTGAAAATGGGCTCCCTTCTGTGCATTCCTCTCCATCAGTTCTGATGAATGACATCTCTGTCCCCTCAGCCTGGAGGAGAACAATGATCTTCCTTTGGCTTCCTTTATCTGGACAGCTCCTGGCCACAATACAATGTCATTCCTCTAGCCACGAAACAAGGGTCTGGACCGTGCCACCAGCACTTGCAATTCTGTCAGCTTGACTCTAAAGTCCATTCACTGGGCAAAGGAGGGATGCTTACCTTCCAGAAGGTGAAGCTGAGTCAGGACAACTTATGCAACATTCCTACCCAGTGAGATGACACACACAGCATCAGAATCACTTTTCCTCAGAGGGCTGCAGCCTCGTTTCTGATCAGCTGCCCCTGCTCTGGCTAAATTCAGTTGGGGCTGTGTGATGGCACAGCAAATATTTCATACCATCCTCCTGGGGAGGTGAGAGCATACTTGGAGTAAGAAGGGATGTGAATCTCTTTGATGAGGGTAAAATATTTTCATCTGCAGGGAGCTCTGAAATCCTCAGTGAAACAGCAGTAGAGTCCTGTGAG